TTCGAGGCCATGTGTGTCTGCTGATTGTGAGCCCCTGTCACTTTCGTGTGGCAGCGGCGCCGGTGACGATCCAGGGCTTGTTGCTGCGGTGACCTGACGGCGATTCAGGACTTTGGCTCCGTCGAAAGCCTTGGGTGAGCCCGTCGCGGCTCTGTTCTTTGGGTGCTGTGCTCAGCAGACTTGTGTTGTGAAGGAGCGCGGCTTGAGTTTGCGCGTGCTTCTGATCCGCGATGGCGCAGTCCTACTATGACATCCTGGGTGCGATCCAGGACTTTGATTTTGAGCCGGACTCTGAGGAGTCCTTTGTCTTTACCCCGCCTCAGGACGCCAGCAGGCGCTGGGGGCGGGCCAGGGGAAGACCGGGCACCGGAGGTGTGTCTTCGAGTGATCGGAGCGGGGAGAGTGCGCCGCTCGGACGGCAAGTGGAGTGGAGCTTGGGGCAGCGGCCACGACTTCAGTGCAGAGATGGACGGCTCTCGGCTGAAGCCTCCCAGCGGAGGCCTGGCGGATGATGCCGCCGGAGAAAACTGGAGCTGGAAGACGGGCCAAGGGAGCTGGGATGATAGCTCCTGGGGCCAGTCCAATGAGAACTGGTCGTGGAAGAGCGGCTATGATGGGTCGTCTTCGCATGGCGGCTGCAATGACGTGGGCTTTGTCGAGGACGAGCTGAACAGCTGGTGCTCCGAGCCGGCCGCGGACGACTTCAAGGGCAAGGTTAAGATTGCCGGCGACGGGCCGCCGGATGCTGACAAGAAGGTGGGCGGCAAGGTGAGCAACACCTACCCACCAGTGTTTCGAGCCCGGCCCCAGGAGAGCTACACCGAGTGGAAGCGAGGAGTCATGTTTTGGATAGGCAGTGAAGGCTCCCAACTGCCTCCGGAGTTGATCGGACCCCGCATGATGATCCAGTTGCGGGACCGGGCGGGGCAACTGGTGAAACACTTGTCCTTGGAGGATGTAAATCACAAGGGCGGCATGCAGAAGATCTTCGACGTGCTGGAGAAGGCCCCTCTGATCAAGCAGGTGGACCGCCACAAGGTGGATGAGCACAGGAGAAGATTGATGCAACTAGGCCGGGCGGCTGGTGAGTCAATGGAGTCCTACGTCACCCGTGCCAGCGTGTGCAGGGCCCACTTGATGGGGCTGGACCCGAGTCTGGCCATGGGCGAGGCCTTCTACGTCGGGCACCTGATGGACCATGCCAGGCTGACCCGCCGAGACAAGGCCATGATTAAGACCAAGGCCGGGAATGTGAACGACGAGGCTTTGGTGACGGCTGCTATGCTGGACCTAGCGGGCGAGCTGGACGGAGAACAGGGCTACCCTGTGGGCATGGCCGAGCCAAATTTGGCCAGGAACGGCGAGGAGTGGCTGCTACAGCGCGGCGAGAGCAGACCACCGGGCCGGGTGGTGAGTGGACAGCCTGGGACCAAGGCGGCCAGGAGTGTTTTCGCTGCGGAGATGAGTGGGCTGCCTGAAGAAGGAGAAGGAGGTCACGAGGATGGAGATGATTCCTGGGAGGAGGTGGACCTTCCCCCGGAGATGGTCCACATCGAGAATGAGGCGTTCGGAACTCACTTCAAGGCACGACAGAAGATTACTGAAGTTCGGAAGCTTCGACGAGCGCCGCAAGCTACTCCAGGAGAAGATGAAGACTAACCCGTGTCATGCCTGCGGGCAGCTGGGCCATTGGTCTCGCGAGTGCCCCTTGAACACTGGGGGCAAACCTCAAGCAGTGCTTGCTGCCCGGTCGAGGACAACGACGACCCCGGAGCCGGAGCCCATGAGTGACAAGGCTGAGTGGGCTCTCCTGGCTTCTTTGTGTGGTGGCTCAAAGGGCCCACCGGGTGCACTTCCGCGAGCTGCTTCGCATGCTGGGCCCCCCCCTCTTCTCGAGAGCTGGCTGCACACAACTTGGAGCGGTGATTGACTGTGAACATCATGCTCTCAGCTCTAGGAAACTGGGGTTCAAGAACTGCGGGTTGAGCGTGGACAGTGGTCACTACACTATAGCTGTGGATGAGTGTGCACCGCACAGTGCTGTCTTACCTGAAGATTATCAGTTGCCTGTTGGTGTGGATGCGGCGCCTGTGACTTCCTCAGTTTTGCAGCTCGAGTGCCCTGATCATGAGCGCCCGGATCGCTCTCGAGAAGCACATGGCAACGTCCACGGCCAGCGAGAAGGAGCCCAAATGCAAGCTGTGCAAGGGCCCTTGTTTGGCCATCCCGATGTCAAGGAAGGCGAAGCTCCAGTGTGCATTCTGGAGGCATGCAGCTCCAAGGTGCAGAGGGTCGTCCGCTGCAGCATGTCTGCAGAAGTCTGTTCGTTGGCTACAGCGTTTGAGCACGGGGACTATGTGAGGGCTGTGTACGTGGAGCTGGTGAAGTCAGACTTCGACCTCAAGCGCTGGAAGACCAGTGTCGCCGGCTGGGAGCACATCCTAGTGACAGATACTCGGACAGGATACGACGCGGTGAACTCCGAGACTCTCCCGACGGATCGGAAGATCGCTATAGATGTTGGAGTCCTTCGACACGGACTCTTAGAGGACTCCGGCGGCTGCAAGGTCAGATGGGTGCCGGGAAGCCAAATGCCCGGTGATGGCTTGACCAAGTGGAATCACAATGGTGTGCTATGCCAGGTCATGTGCGAAGGGACGTGGTCGCTTAAGGACACACCGGCCTCTCAGGAGTTGAGGCGTTTAGCTGCCGCTAAGCGTGCAGTGTGGCGTCACACCGCAAAGGGACACTGAAACTCCAAGGGGGGTTTGTGTGAAATCACGCATGTTTCAGTGTCAGTGTGCGAAGTCTTTTCGGAAAACCTTCGCCGGCCGGCAGCCGTTGATGCGGATCAGAAGTAGCGCAAAAAGGTTCGAGGCCATGTGTGTCTGCTGATTGTGAGCCCCTGTCACTTTCCTGTGTAATTATATTTTTTGAAAGGCTGTGTGTGTGTGTCAGATGTGTCAGTGCGTGGGTGTGTGTCTGTGTGTTTTGTATGCCTAGCGCATGACCATTTCTTTCGTTTGTGGCAGGACCGATATGTCATGGACGAACCGCTCGAGGCGTGCGAAGCAAATCCTTCGTCCTGGAGACGACGAACCTCTGACCTGTTCAGGAGCTCGGCGTCTACTTCGCCGTCCTCGACGGTCACGGTGGAACACAGGCCGCCCAGAGAAGAGAAGATCGATGCTTCTGAAGTGCTAACCACTTTCCCGAAAAAGGTGGCGGACATGGTGAAGGAGAAGCTTCACAAGCGTGGCCCCGTGGATTTTGGGCTGGGGCTCGCAAGTGACATGCCGAACTCGGGTTCTTCGACATCGATCCAAGCTGTGACGTCTGTCCTCTCAGCGCAATTGTTGGGTGCCCAGGAATGTCCTCCAGCAAATGAGGCAAAAACAGGCCAGTCTCTTGATTCTGGTTGTTTCCTGACAGAGGCAAGCAGACTCTAAGAGCTAAACGTTAAAGAAATCGATTTGCCATTGTCGCCACAGACAACCAGGACGAGTGTTGTTGTGTAAGTTCGAGACCGCGACTTATGGTCAAACTCACGCGCTGATTTTGCCGTAGCAGGTTCAACCTGCGTCTCGGGACGAGAAAATCAAGCTGGCCATCAAGGAGGCCAGTTTGCTGGGGGTCAGGGTGAGCGGAGTGATCCGGTCACACGAGTTTTTTTTTTGGCGGTGTGGTGGAGACCTGCTCCTTTTCAGGAGTGTGGTGGAGACCTGCTCCTTTTCAGGAATATCGCTTGGCTGACGCCTTTCGCGCTTAGCGCGACGTGCCAGGCGTTCCTCCAAACCGACAAGGAGATTTTGGCCCTAGCGGAGCGCAAGAAGCCGATGGCCGAGACAGAACGTGTCCGTTGATGTGCTGTCACCGCCAACTCCCTGGCTGAGGTTTGAGCTTGTTGGCTCCACTTGCGTGCGGCACCTTACCTGCTGGACCTTGATGGAATCTCGTCCGTTCAGCTGACGAGCCACTCTCGAGCACCCAGGTTTCAGTGATACTGCATGGCAACCCGATGCTTGGCTGCACCCGAGCACGCAACACATCGAGCAAACTGGATGTGTTCACCGGTTGATGCAACCCATAGTCTGTGAGGAAGCTGGGGACAGCCCTGCGTTTGGCGTGCCCGGCAAGATTGCAAGACAAGATACTTGTAGCTTCACGAGATCACGCTGCCTCACATGGCAATTTAGTACCTGGTGCTGCCACGAGTTCATGGTCTCGAACTGTCTGCTTGAGTTAGAGTCGATCATAAAGGCATATGAAAGCCCTGCCTGAAGCAGGTAGTGTCAAATCTTGGAGATTCGCGGGCCGTCCTTTGCCCGATCCCCAGCTGAAGCGCAGTCGCTTGGAGAGCTTGCAAGACGACTCCCTGAAATGTCTCCTGGCTTGAACCGGACGATCTGCCCGCCAGGCCGTGCAGGGCAGGCCGCAGACCTGTACATTGTGGCAGTGTTGCAATATGTTGCAATACTTGATGGATGAAGTCGTGAGTGGGTACGGGTTCGGGCTGACGGAGCATATGTAAATTGACGGTACCACGTTGGTGACGAGAGGAGTCAGCACGGCAGTTGCTTCACGCCAGATTGACTACGTGTGCAGCCTTTCTTGCAGGCCGTGCCAGCCTCCGAGGATCACCGACCAACTCGAATCGATGAGCAACTCCGGCATGGGTTCAAGAGCATGAGATTTCGCATGCAAAAGCTGCCGGATGTCTGGCTGGGCCAACACCCCCAACATCGGTTCTGCATGGCAGGAAAAAACGCATTGAGCGAGTTGGCGGTCTCGTTTTGCAGGCGGGATCCAGTGTCATCCAGTGTCGTTTCTTGTTACTTTGGTCCAGACCGGAAACTGCATGTCTTTGTCGTTTCGTCTCAGTCTTCTGGAGTTGCAAGGCAGGTTTTGTGAGTCTGCACTTGTCCAGATTAAAGCCGACGAAGTCACATCCTAGGTTCGTGGAGCTTGGCGCGTTGCCACCTCGACGAATCCCAATTCCATGAACAAGGCCCAACTCAATCTAAGCTGGACTGGCATGATGACATGCGTTGGCCACACGCATCTCTTTCTTGCTCATTGTCCGGAATCCTTTCACTTCCATGTGGACGGTGCAGGCTGCCAGAAGAGAATACCAGGCAGCGTTGCAATTTGGGAGCAGTGCTGTGCTGCAGAGCCCTCTGTTTGGCCGTCGATGGTGTCATCTCGTTCAGTTCTGGGTGTTTGTAGTCTAGCAAATTGCAGGAAGGGCCGCATCTCAAGACATGCGATTTTGGTCTCGTCAGGGCCTCGCCATGACCCGATCTTTCGGCGATCTGCACGGGGCTTGGCGAAGGGCGTCTCTGGTGCAGTGAACGCGTTAGCGGTGCCGAGGCATTTCAAGCGGCCCATCGGGCTGGCCATTGCGGAGCCGGAGGTTCGGATCGTTCCTCTTTCGGACAAGGAGCTTCTAGCCGGCTGTAAGCGGAGTTCCGGAACACAGACATGACGGAAGATGACGAAAGGACCTGTTTATAGTTCTTGCAACGGACGGCGTCTACGACGTCCTCAGCAACCAGGCTCGTTGAACCCCTGCACGACATCTTCAGAATGTGCTTCGGGTTCAGGTGCAGTAAAGTGCAAGTGACAATTTCCTGGGTGCGTCAGGAAGTTATCGACCTGGCCATGAGGTGGGTGTTGAGGAAGTCACGCGATGTTTGCTGTGCCACGCAAGGGAGAAGCAGAGCAAGCTTTTCTATACAGCAGAGCCGCAATGGGTTGGCCTGTGAGACTCCCTGTGGCTCAAGCTTAAATCAACATGATGACGCATGCGGCACACTCTTTGCAATGTTAGAGTGAGCTCAGGAGCATCAGAATTAGTTGTGAATTTGGGACATTTGCCTTCTTGTAGCTTGAAGTTTGTGACCTCGTCCTGAACTACGAACCTTCACCCTCCTGATGTTCACGTTGCTATCATGTCTGCTTGCATGAGGCATTGGCGAGAGCCCGAAGAAGCCGCAAAGAACATTGTCCGATCAGCCTACAAACGTGGGGGAGCTGAGAAAGTGCTTTTACGTCTGAGTCTCTCATGGGGCTGTAGAGAGTCTGGGAAAGGGGATCGTTGACCTGCAGCCAATCAGTTTTTGTGCGACGTCCTGGGAAGGGGTCAAAAGAAAGGTATTGCAAAGACAAGCTGCCTTCTGCTTGACCGAACTGAGAGCAATTCCCTGGTGAGCCTAAGCCGCCACTGTGAAGGCGGGAGCGAGGACAACCTGACCGTCTTGGTGGTGCAATTTGGTGGGACCAGCTGACTCTGAGAGCTTCGCTCCCTTCAGGGTTGTGGGTCCTGTGTTTGGCAGTCCAGGCTTGAGACACATGCTTAGAGCGTGCAGTATCAAGTGCTTCGTGCCTGTGAGCACACATCCAGTTCGCATGAGAAGCTGTCGACATGTGCTGTTGCTTGCGTGTAGACAGACAGACGCGCAGCTTCTGCAAGATAGAGTCACTTTGCAGTTGCACTTTTGCGTTCCTGACAGTGGTTCAGCTTGAAGCTGTTGCAGCTCACGAGTCTCCAAACAAACCAGTGCAACGAACCAGCACATCCAGCGACACGAAAGCCACGTCCCCTTGACTTGTAGGTTGGGCTGACAAGAGTGTTCCGAAGTACGTGGGCAAGACAGGCCGTGACGGCACCTTGGGGTTGCCCAGATTTGCCCAGTGCGAAGAGACAAGTTCGGTTCGGGTGCGTGCTCCACTATGTACAATGTCAGCACTATTCTATGAAGTTAAGTGGACTCATCGTCCTTCCGCATAGCTCATGCCACTGGGTTCCGCAGTGCTCACCGATGGTGGACATTTTTCCTTGGAGCTGTTGTTCAAAAGGAGGAGTACCTCCGGATGGCTGTTCGACTTGAACACCCTGTAAGGAATGTTGGTTGGATTCAGTCGTGACCATAGCTGGATTCTTGCTGTTGGATAGGACGTTGAGGGCAGAAACATGCAGAAATCATACAATCCATCCGTGCCCCGCCCGGACCTGGGATCTTGTTGACGTTTTCTACGGTCGTGATTGAGGATCAAACAGAGCAACAAACTCTACCAAGCATGACAAAACAGCTGTCCATTTTCTGAAACCATGGGACCAGTCAGCTCTTGTGTAGAACTGCGAGCTCTCGAGCGTCGCAGAAGTGGCTGCTACTGTAAGCCATGGGGCCATGTTGCGAAAGTTGGCCCCGCCAAGCAGTTGGATAAGTGTCAGTATACCCCAAATAATGAGAAAGAATCTTCAGTAGGTTCTTGTGCATGGTTAAGTGGTTGATTTCTTCCGTACATGCCACAAGCAAATTCGAATATCCCAAGGTAATCCAAGGCCCTCTTTGCGAGGGTGCCAGTGGGCTACAGTCGAGCAGCGTTATGTAAGGTTGAGTCTGCCCTGGATGGCTGGCTGTAGGTGCTCATAAGATTTGGGAATTGTTATCTTGCATTGGTTGCTTTCTGCATGACCTGTGGCCCCCTCGTCTCACTGCTCTGAGCTCAAACTCCTTTGCGGGAAGATGTGCCGTTTTAGCCCAGTAGGATAAACAAAGTTGATGTGCGAGGACCCGCCTAGTTGCTGAGGGGTCTTAGAGTCTTGTAGTGGTCCCATACTGCCAACCCTACCCGCAACATGTTCGGACATGTGCGGGCTCAGAGCATCTAATTTCAACTTCACTGGCAGCTGGCTGGAATTAGCCATCTGAATTGCGATGACCCACTGAACCTAGCGACTAGTTCGAGCAGCACTCAATCAGGAACAGAATCCACGTGTTAGCGATAGTCACTACAGAGTGTGTTTTACCTAGAGTGTCTTGGTAGGGAAGATTGCCAACGCTGGCTCGTACTGTCGCAAGTCTGGCCGGAACGACCCCAAGCCCGCTTGCTCTCGCTTGCCCTTGCTGGCTGACAGGAGGCCAAGGCCCTGTGGCCGCAGCTGCGACCATCGAAGCAGGCGGGAGACGGCAGCACGATGCAGCATGGGGTACATCGGGCACGGATATGCGAACCGCCAGGCGTGGTCAAGGGCTCCTCGGGCCCGGCCTCGGCGAAGGCGGCCGATGACGCCCGGGGCCCCGAGATGCCTCGACCGAGCGTGTGCGCTGCTGTCCTGCGAGCCCTTTCCCCCGCGCCGACCTGCCGAGATGGACATGTTCGGCTGAGTGACGTCTACATGTGAATGCTAATTACTTTTAAGCGTCGCACAGCTACTGCTGGACTGTGAGAGCCTGTGGCCAGCACGAAGTCATTTATGATATGAGGGACTCGAGAGCCAAGGCTCTCAACAATCAGCAGTAGCGCAAAAACGTCAGTGGACTTGCCGAGCTACAGTTGCTGCTCCTGAGACCCCGAACGAGTTTGAATTCATATTGAATTCGAAGAAAGACGGGCTCAGCAGCAGTCCTCAAAGGCCTAGCAGCTTGAAGCTGCGTGCATACTGCTGACAATGATACCCAAGTCCAGTGATGTACCGGTGCTTATCTTTTCGGCCGGTTTCTCAAAACCAGGAACTGTTGCTGTCGAGAGCCGAGAATCGCAGCCATGTATTTGCATGTTCCTGGCTTCGAGAAACGCCTTTATTTAGCTGCACATAGGCTGGTGGGATTCAACCTGTAGCAGTTGGCAGTCCGGGAACCCCCCTTCCCGAGGCCGTGCATGACATGTAAAGCGGAGGATCTCTTTCGGGTGCGGGTTCCCAGATGCCATGATCCGAGATCATGCAAGCCCTGTCTCCTCCAATATTCCCTTAGCAGATGATTCGACAACGCAGTCACGTTGGCATATTGGAGGGGAGAACCAGCTCTGGTCAATAAGGCAGTCTGGGTCAGGATGGGCAGTGCCTCCACGGAAGGCACCCCTGGAACTTGGAGATTCTGTTCGGACGGAAGACGGTTGGCGTGGAACTGGGCCTCCCCCATCTTCCAGCACATCTTGCTCAGGGATTTTGGGCCCTAGCAGTCCATCGGCCACATCAACCCTTTTCCATCTTTTGCCAAAGCCAAAAAATCGACTCTCCCCAGTGTTTTGCCTGCCCGCGGGTGCTTTTCTTGGATGGTGCAAGCTTCAGGATGGTGCGGTGCAGTACAGCTGCAGTGCAGAAGAAAAGGTGGAAAGGCATCCACGCCCTTACATTTCTCAATTTGCCATGCAGCATGAATCAGCTTTCTCCACCCTGCTTCTTTATCAGCAGTGCCCGGGGTTAGAGCTATGAAGGGATGCACTTCGAAGGGCCGGAGTGATGGGAAGAGCCACCAAAGTAGCAGTTCAGTGTACATTCACTGTAGCACCTCCGCGATAGCCCCCAAAGTGTGCAGCGATGAGCTTCGACGATGTGGTCTGCAACGCTGCACGACGCGCTTAAAACAGCCAGAGACACAGCCCAACTAACTGGTCGTTTCTGTAAACTCCTTCCTCGTGGGCCCATTGGCCACGGAGTGGACTGGGCCATGGGAGATCCAGAGCGCTTGCAATGGTGCCCCAACATCTGGCCTTGCTGTGTCCATTCAGGTTTGCTCATGCTGCACCGCAGTCGTGCTTGTGTATGATGTGATGTAATGCAATGTAAAAGGTGTCGTGTGGTGTCGCATGATGTGGTGTGGTGTGATATGGTGTAGCATGCTATGTAACACAGCGCTATGTCATGTTGTGTATGTATGCCTGTATGTGTATGTATGTATGTATGTATGTATGTATGTATGTATGTGTGTATGTGTGTATGTATGTATGTATGTTTGTATGTTTGTTTGTATGTATGTTTGTTTGATTGTTTGTAATGTAACGTAATGTAACGTAACGCAACGCAACGTAACGTAATGTAATGTAATGGAATGTAATGGAACGTAATGAAATTGAATGCAATGCAATGCAGTGCAATGCATGCGTGCAGGTATGTATGTATGTATGTATGTATGTATGTATGTATGTATGTATGTATGCATGTATTTCTGTTTGTCAGAGGCCGGCATCTTCACTTGTCGAATTATTCATTAATCTTTCTGTCTATCTGTCTACTTGTGTATACCCGTATGTGTGTACAGTCAAGTCGAGACGTAGGAAGACAACCAAAGGAACAGACAAAGACCCAGAGTGATAATTAAATATACGTGCACCCATCCAGGTAGCATGTATTTAGTTTCACATTTTATATGTCATGCCTGTGTCCGTCTCTATGTGTACTCGAAATGTATGCGAATGCACGCATACATCAAGTTAGCCCGCATGTCATGAGACTAGATGCGTTGACAGACGGATATGCAGATACACAGAGCTAGATAGAGATAGAGATTGTTGCAGTGGCAGTCATAGACGGCCAGATGAATGGATAATGGATAGAAATAAATTGGGAGACCGATAGCAAAATAGGTGGCTAGATAGATCGCTGGATAGGTAGGTAGGTAGGTAGGTAGGTAGGTAGGTAGGTAGATCGATCGGCTCAAAGAAAGATACATATACATATATATATATATATATATGTGTGTGTGTGTGTGTGTTTATATATATATATACATACATACACATATACGCACACATACATATAATGGATAGTGCATGAAGGAGCATCTCGAAGTACGATACCTGGGGGCCTACTCTTGCCAGGTATTATGTGGATCGAACGGGCCAGGAGTTCGGCCCATTTCGAACATCGAAAATGCGACTTGGATGCTTCGTTTTTGTTTTCCGCCTTTCCTGTACTGACAGCAGAGATGTTCTGTGGGTTTGGCTGCTGTCTAAGTTCGTTCGGCCTGCCCAGGCGTTCCTGGTTTTCACAAGGCTTCTTTCCCATCGGAGATGAGTGCCTCGGCGAACTGAGTGCTGCGCTGCACTGGGCTGTGTTGGGCATGGGCATAGCAGAACCACGCTGCTTTTCCTGCAGAGGCTCTTGGTCCGCCTCCATGACTGGCCCCCTGAGGTGCTTTAAAACACCTGGCGTCTGGGTTTTTGCTAGCTTTGGCTGTCCTACTGCAAGGCTCCTCACGGGACATTGCAGTGAAAGCGTAATTTTAATGGAAGCAGCCTGTGCAATTGCGCCCTTCCACTTCCAGAGAACGAGATTTGTCTAAAGCGCTTGGTTAAACTGTGCGATCTGCTCTGCCAGTCGCATGTGGCAGCTCGGCTCTCAGACGTTCGCGAGCCTGTTCGAGAGAGAGACCGAGGCAGAGAGAACGAGAGGGAGGTAGGAGTAGCACCCCTGTGATTAAGCTTTCGCGTCGTACTAGCATGAAGGTCAAGATGCTCTATCCTAACCCCGACAACATCTTCGTCGGAGGGCCGCAGTCACCGCAGAGTTCCGCAAGCCCCTCAGTCCATCCAGAATCGTCCCTGCTGGGTCATAAGATGTCACGTCAGAGTCCGTCTAGCCCCGCTTTCGTGTGGCCAGAGCCGTCCACAGCGGCGGCGGAGCCGGAGCCGAAGCCGGCGGCGGCCACGGGAGGATCCGCGAGAGCACATCCGCAAGAGTTCAAGATGCGCGGAGGGAGTCTTCTCGCTCTAGGAGCCACGGCAACCTCGACCGGAGGACAGTGCAGCCTTCCCAGCTCGAGACTTGCATAGACTTGCTTTGGTGACACGAGCAGGAGTACCCCCCTCCAGAATACGATCGCCAGCCGGGCTATGGGCAGCCACCGCCTGGTTACGGCGGCTACCCGCCGCCACCAGGTTATGGCTCTTATGGCCCTCCGCCTGGCTATGGAGCCCCAGGATACGGGCCACCTCCCGGTTACGGGCCTCCTCCTGGGTACGGGCCTCCGCCGTATGGCTATGGAGCGCCAGGCTACGGCCCGCCAGGTCACTACCCACCACCAGGCTACGGCCCACCGCCCCCAGGTCCAGGCTACGGCCCGCCAGGGGTCTGCCTGGCTGATGTTTTGGGAAACCTGACATAGGTCACTTCTGAAGCTTGGCCTCCTGATAAAGCCCCCGCTCTTGAACCCCAGGAACTTTTTGTGCCCCAAGCCGTAAAGTCGTCCTTGTGTTTGCAACCCTGGGCAAGCCAGGGTCCCAGTGGCTTCTCTGGCCGTCAGACTGGAACTCTGAAGTCCTTCAACCCGAAGCCTGAGACTAAGCAGAAGAGCTGCGGAATGAGTACGCACCTAATCCGTCAGCCCGTCGTTGACGTCAGGCATGGCTTCGGCTTCATCGATTGCCCGCAGGCCGGTTGGCAAGTGCTAGGACACAAGAGGTACGAATCAGTTCACCCTGTGCTCAGATCCTGGATTTGATTTGCAGCCTTGCGCACATAGCAAGAACAGCTCTCGAACAGCAGAGTCGTTGTAGTCCAATTCAATGCTGCCTTCGTATTTCTTGCTGGTCGCTTGTATCGTGCAGCATTTTGGGGGAAAATGCACATGTGCTTCGGGGCGAGTGGGTTGTCCGATCTCTCTGTGTTCTCTGAGGTAAGGCATCGCTTTAGCAGGGACGTCTTTGTCCACAAGGCGCACTGCCACGCTCTGCTCCGCACTTCGCCGCTCTCCGCACTCCACACTCCTTGCAGCGGCGAAGGCACAGATCGGCGACTTGGAGGTCGGCCGAAGCCTCGGCTCCTTGGGCGCTCGCCTTCGGCCATCTTCGGCCATCTTCGGCTTTCGGCCTTAGGTGAGGAGCTCAGCTTCCTGCTGGACACCAACAAGGCTGGTACCTGGGACATCGCGGGAGGCTGGGCATAAGATCCCTTAAGTTGCAGTCCAAAGCTTAGGATGGCATGCCCCAAGCACGGGACATACGTCGATCTGATGGCTCCAAGCCGGGATCCTCAGACCCTGACTTCCTGCACTCAGTGGAGCCGCGATCAGAAGATCCCAGAATCTGCCCGAACCGTCGCGAAATCTGAGGCCGGGCCCTGGCAAGAAAGGCACCGGGGGGCGGGGGGGAGCGGGGCGAAGGCAGGTGCAAGCAAACGAATCGCTTTTGATTTGCAGGGGAGGAAGCGCCCGCCGCCAACGGTGCTCGCCTCTGTGATTGGAGCCAGGGATTGCTTGGGAGTTTGCTATGCGCCAGGTGGTGAACAGGCTACGAAGAAGCGGCGAAGAGGGGGAAAAGTCCGGATCTCGAAGTGTGGGAGTGGCCTTATCCGGTTGAGTCGGCCTAGCCGCTCTTCAGACGTTTCAGGGAAAGAAGAAAGGAGAAGACGGCGGAGGCCAGCTCGATGGGAGTCACTGCATTTTCAGATGCTGGAGGGCTTCGTTTTCCGATTGATGTGTCGTTCGTCCCCCGAGGCGGTGATGGCAAGGCCGGGCGGCGATTCTTGCGTTTTGAAGGTGTGCAGCAGGTAGTGACGGCAATTAGCACCTCCGCTGCCTCTTGGTGGGATGAGCTTGCAAACCAGAGGCTGCATCTTCAGCTGGCAATGTCTATAGTGTTTTTAAGGTTGTGCCGACGGGGAAACAGAATGATTGTCCACAGCCTGAGATGTCTCCATCTCCGAGTTTTGATGATCGTGCCCTGTGCAGGGACCAGGGGAGGCTGCGAAGCAAGTGGGCTCAGGGGGGTTTGGGGGGACTAATTCATCGTTGTAGCAGTTTACCATGCTGTGAGAAAGCCTGTGAGAAGCAGTGATGACCGACCTGGCCACTGGGAGGACTAGGAGCTTACGTTCGAAGTAAGGCCTGCAGACGCTACCCCTGCTCTCAAAGATGCAGATGGCGACAGCGCCAAGGCAGGGGACCTTCACAGGTGTCATGTCGGGTTCGTGTCTGCTGTACATCCTCACTTCTGGGCGGTTTGGGCCATCTCGCGCAGAGGCTGAAGCCACAGAGACGGTGCCAGAAACCCAGGGGTCTCTGCCTCTGCCAAGCTCAGCAAAAATCTCGACTGCCGTTGAGGCCACAGACGAACGGTGAGCCCAAAGCCGACTCCCAGGAGCGGCGCGTAGCTGCGCTGCAGCTTACTTAGCCATCAGATGCTTCTGGGTGTTTTTTGCACAAGGCTCCCGAAGACGAGGCGCAGCCCGGAGCCCAGAAAGGACAGAAGAGAGGAAGCTCCGCTTTTCGGGTCAACCAGTTTGATAGCTGCGATCCTCCAATACAGACGTTCAGCGTTTAGGGTTTAGATAAGACATTAGGGCATGGGGCTGCAGAGCGACCCTTCCAAGAAAACCGTTCAAGCACTTTCAGGAGCAGGGCTTTTCGTACGATAACTGTCGGTCATTTTCTAACCACGGCGAATTTACTTGTAGCCACGGGGGCGCGCGTCTGTCGGCTGAGGCCGGCCGAGAAAGCCAGGGCGGAGGAACCGAAGCAGGGAGGCCTCGACGGTGAGGTGCAGGACTCAAAACAATGCCGACACTGCAATTTCTTGTTCTTGGGCGTCCTTTTCGAAGAGTTCTTGAGCTCTGCAGTGGGTCGCTCACCTGCCTGAACGGTGAGGAGGCTGCTGCTGCCGAGCTTGCACCTCAAAAGGTTGCCGGACTTTCTGGAGGAGCTTAGGGCTCGAGCTGTTGGACCAGCTACGTATCACGTGAGATTCCTGCGCCATCTTGCTCCCTTGCGTTTCCTTGCTTTGCATGGCTCTAAAGAAAGCCAAGATCAACCACGAGGCCTGCCAATGCTCCCATCACAGAAGCACCTCCGGCCGAAGCCTCGGTCCTTGGATGGGTTGGACTGTGCTCGTGCGAGAACCTCGGTGAGGCTGCTGCAGAAGCTCCCGCCGCGGAAGTTCCGGCAGTAGAAGCTGCGGTTTCAGCAGAAGCTCCGGCGGCGGAAGCTGCGGCTGCAGCAGCGGACCAACCAGCAGATTCTGCGGGGAAAGCTCCCGATGCTCCGGCAGAGGCGGGACGGCGTTCCCACACGCTCCATATAAATATCATTCAATAATTGCCCAATGCTCGTGACTCGAGCCCAGCTTCCAGCCAATATTCTGTGGAAGTGCCTGCAGAGGCTTTGGCCTCGGAGGCTCCGAGTGCAGCTGTGCAGGCAGGCGCAAACCTCGACGCTTTAGCTGGTCGAACGTGCACAGCCTCGGCAAGGCTTCCGCTGAGGTAGCCATGCCCACGCCCACGAACGATTCTCAGATCCTGAGGCAGATTTCAGCTGTGAGAGCACAAAGTGCCGTGTCGACCGAGGCCAGCAGAGACTCCTACGCCGACCGCGCAGCAAGCGCCCGAGGCCACCGCCAGCACGGCACGGGTGCAGCTGGGTCCAAGCTGGAGAGTGAGGGGATTCAGACGTTAGGGGAAGGGTGGCTCGGGCCAACTTGTACAGGAGCTGGCCGCTGCGAAGCTGCATCAGGCTTAGCCACTTCGTTGTTTTACGGCACCAACTACAGTGGCAGAAAAAGCATTGCACACCCGGCCGTACCGAGGCCAGTGGAAGCCTCTAAAGATTTGACTTCCCAAGCGGAGCCCCATGAGGTGGTCGCTGTGTGTGCTTTTGCCGAGTCGGGCAGCCAGCAGAGAGAGAGCATGTTTGGTCGCAGGCCCAGGCTACAGCCACGGAGCCTGGGCCTCTGATAACCTGACCGCTGCAGGCTGCGACTCGGCTTCTGATTGCAGGAGTGCCAAGAGACTGCAGGTCTGCAGATGCCGCAAAGGACACTCCCCAGGACAACCCGAAGGCTGGGAACATCAGTCGGGCAGGGGCAAGGAAACATCCGAACCTGAGGAGTTGGCCTCGCATTTTTTCAAAGCCACTGGTTGAGACTTTGCGCCGTTTGCCGGTGCTGAGAAAGGGAGAAAGCTTGTCAAGTTGTGGCTGCAGTCCGCAGTCCCGAACTCCATAACCGAACTGCCCCATGCTCTTGCATGGCAACATAGAAATTGACGAGACAAACGGGATGGAACCTGGAAGGAAAGCGACCGGTCTAGACTGGCAAAAAGGCAAAGACTCCGCAGACCAGGCCCCGGCAAGCGAGCAAGTGAGCGAGCGACTGTTTTCACACAGCAACAGCAAAAAAAACCCTGCCTAGAAGCAGCAAGGAAGCAAGCACCCCCGCTCAACAACAAAAAGAAACACCACCCCCGCAGCGACAGCAACACCATAAGCACCTCCCCCACAGGAAAAGCACATAACACACCCCGCCGCAGGATCACCAAAATACAATACGCACACACATACCCGCAGCAACAGCAAGAAAAACTAACACCTGCCCCATCAGTAACAGCAAACAACCAAAAACAAACACCATCTCGACAAGTTGGGCATACCCGTGGCTGGATTTAGTTAGTTTTCGATGCTGGATGCTCCTGTTTGTTGGCCCTTGCTGTACCTGCAAGAACGGTCAGCCGATGTACCCTTGATTTTGTTGCTTCTACCATTGGCCACTCCGTGAAAGCGCTATAGTTTGAACCTCGGAGTTCAATCCGAGGCTGCATCGCATGCAGAGCGCTCGCAGATGTCAGTAGATTGCAGGTACCAAGTGATTCTTGGCTTCTACAAACAGTTCAGCTTTGCCTGCATGCACGTTTGCCGCAAGCTGTACTCGGTTGAGTACGACAAGCTTTCAAGGTGGTTGATCACATCACCCTTCCCCTGTCTTGGAAAAGCTGCACACACACACACAACAACATACCCACCAACAACAGAAACAACCAAGTGGCAACCACAGACAACCGCACACCCAGCCACAACAGAAACAAAGAGATACAGACGCAGACGCAGATACAGACGCAGACATGACAGAGACAGAGACACAGACGCTGACACGGACACGCAGACACAAACGTAGATATACACCCAATCACGCAACCAGAGAGACAGAGACAGAGACAGAGACAGAGACCGAGACCGAGACCGAGACGGAGACGGAGACGGAGACGGAGACAGAGACAGAGAGA